CACTGCTAAATGCTTGCTGGGTACTGTTCCATGATTTTTCTTCTCTGCTCATGGAACACACACATATGCATACAGAGGGATTTTTCTCAATTTACAAAACTGGGATCCTATATGACATAGATTTTATTCTAAAACACACTCTTTTCACTTAACAATGTATCACAGCCATCCCTCCAGACCAATGCATATGGGTCTCACTCACTCTTTCTAATAACTGTGCAATAGTCCACAATCTGGCCACTCATTCCCCCAGTGGATGAACAGTCAGGTTGTTTCCAGTTTTGTGGAAGTTCTGCAAATAAAGTTAGCAAAACTGGTCTAACATTTCTACAGCCAGTGCAATGGAATCTATTCACATACACCTGAGCCTTTTTCCTCATGATTCGAGCTTCTGAAAAACCAGCAGTTTCATTGAGTGATTGCTTCTTTGTAAAGTGCTTGTTTTCTGTATGTGTCTTGCATGGTATATGTATTTACTACTTATTGAATTGGACCAAAAGCTAACCAGATAGAAACTGCATGGAAGGATTTATGGGATGCACTGTTTGCCATTAATTCTGAGGATTTGATAGGAAAGGAGTTAAAATAGGAGAGGTTCATTTTTAAGTTTATATACTTCCAGCCTGTTTCAATTTAAATATATTGTACTAATTTATAATTTAATATTTTAATATATTATATAGGTATGTTAACACAGTTTTGTTGTATTAATACATTGATAATGATTTCTTTTTTAGACAGGTGCCCAGGCTGGAGTGCAGCGGTGTGATTTTGGCTCACTGCAACATCCACATCCCAGGTTCAAGCAATTCATCTGCCTCAGCCTCCAAGTAGCTGGGACTATAAATGTGCAATGCCATGCCCGCCTAATTTTTGAATTTTTTTTTTTTCAGTAGAGACAGGGTTTCACCATGTTGGCTAGGCTGGTCTTGAATTCTTGACCTCAAGTGATCTGCCCACCTTGGCCTCCCAAAGTCATGGGATTAGAGTCATGAGTCACCATGCCCAGCCTGATAGTGGATTTTAATATATTACTTTTACAACTTAAAGGTAGCTTTTTTGAAACTTGCAGGATGATCCAGACCCTGCATTAGAAGAAATAAGCTGTAATTCAATGGCTCCCAATTCTGCCTGTACATGAGAATAAACTGGGGCTTATTAAAAATGCAGATGCCCAGGCCTAACCTGAATATTTTGATTTAGTAGATCTGAATCAGAGTCATGGTATTAGTACCTTTGATAAATATTCCAGATGAGTCTTACGATTCTGCAATAATGGGACTCCACTGTAATCGAATGATCCTTAGAATCACTTTTCACATATGTTGGAACTCTACCTTTAGTGTTTGGGAACCATTAGATCTGGAATGAGGCCTGGGAACCTATATTTTTAAAAGCCAGGACAATTATCCCCAGGTGTGGAAACTCTATTGTAAGTCTTATAATTTTCTCTAGCTGGTAACTCAAAAATCAAAATATGATGGATCCATTTTGGTCTCTATTGGAAAACACAACACCAAGTTACAAGTCTTTGATGAGAGTCTCCTAATATACCACAAGATGGGAATGTCTTAGCTTGCTCTATCATAAAATTAAAGAATGCTTTTAATTGTTAGTTTGAATAGTGAACTGAATTTTAATATTTTTCTCTTAAATTTTTAAAAATAAAATTGCTTTGCTTATGAGATTCAACTGTTTTTTTGTTGTTTTTTTTTTTTTTTTGAGACAGTCTCAGTCTGTCGCCCAAATTGGGGCGCAGAAGCGCAATCTCAGCAATTCATGTGACTCAGCCTCCCAAGTAGCTGGGATTACAGGTGTGCACCACCACACCCAGCTAATTTTTGTGTTTTTAGTAGAGATGGGGTTTCACCATATTGGCCAGGCTGGTCTTGAACTCCTGCCCTCAAGTGATCCACCTGCCTTAGCCTCCCAAAGTGTTGAGATTACAGGTGTTAGCTACTGCACCCGGCCAATTGATTTCATTGTTGTCCTCCCCTCCCCTCCCCTCCCCTCCCCTCCCCTCCCCTCCCCTCTCCTCTCTTCTCTCTCTCCTCTCTATCTTTCTTTCTTTCTTACCAACCAGGAACATTTAATTAAAAAAATATAAGCAAGTTATTCAGGACCTAATCTGCTAAGCAGAGTTATCTCCTAGAGGATGAAGCCCTACTGGCTGGCTCGGACATTTGATTCAGACTGAAAACACAGTAACTCCTCTGGCCCTTGCTGAGAAATGTCCTGCCCAGACCACAGGCAGCACTCCAGTGCAGCTGACCTCCCACAAGGCCTCAAACACATGATTCCACTAAAGGCTTAAACAGGGAAACCTCACAAGTAGGCAGAGAGCACATCTGAGATACAAGGACACAGAAGTCAAGCAAATGGAACTGAGGTGGGCAGCCCCAGCCCCTGTCTCCTTTCGGTACCCCCTTGAAGGAGGCTGTTTTCAACTTTTTCTTTCTTTTTTTTTTTTTTTGAGATGAATCTCACTCTGTCTGGCACAATCTCCGCTCACTGCAACCTCCACCTCGCAGGCTCAAGTGATTCTCCTGCCTCAGCTTCTTGAGTAGCTGGGACTACAGGCACATGCCACCAAGCCTGGCTAATTTTTGTATTTTTAGTAGAGACAGGGTTTCACCATATTGGCCAGGCTGGTCTCAAACTCCTGAACTCATGATCCACCTGCCTTAGCCTCCCAAATGCTAGGATTATAGGCATGAGCCACTGTGCCTTGCTGTTTTCAACTTAAAAGTAATAATAATTATATCCCTATCATAACCTAAAGCCGAGATATTAGAAATAAGCAGAGATCATTTTAAAAATCAAGAGCATTTATCTTTCCAAGGGTCTAAAGAACTTCCTATTGATAAATTGGGTATCTGAGTAGACACATTAAGTTTCTGGTCCTATAAGCTTATCTCCACTTCAGGAGTACAGACAAGAGGAGATAACTGAATTGGAACACCATGGTGAAGCCCACAATTTTGAAATCTTTTATAAAAATTAATGACAAAATATATACTTTTCTAGACAAACTCAATTCAGTAACTACTAAGTATTCTATTAATCTTTTAGAATTTTTTTTCAAATTCACATAAATAAAAGTACTGCATAAAAACATAGGTAAAATCCTCAGTCTTTCATAAAATCTAGGAAGTTCTGGTTCTCCACACTGAAATAGGAAGAAAAAAACTAGGAATATCAAATTAACAACATCTAGTATCAGTGGCCCTTTGTCATTACCAAATGCCCACCAAGATGTTTCTAAATGTATTGGGAATTCCAGGTTACATACCAAGGCTATTTTCTTTAAATGCCATGCCTAGGGCATTCTCTCTCTCTCTTCTTAGCAAATCAATGATGGAGTACATCCTTACAATATCGAAGGACTAATAACAGAAGTAGTAAAACAAAGTGGATGTGATCAGAATCAGACAGACTTGGGTAAAAGTCAGGATGTGCCACTTACCAACTGTTTAGCTCAGGCAAATTATATAATCTCTCAAAAACCTCAATTCCTTCATTTGTAAAATGGAGAGGTAATAATAGTACCTACTTGATTGAGTTATTGTGAAGATTAAATAATGTAATACATGCAAAGTACCTGACACATAATAAACATATAATCACTGATATTTATTATTATAGGTGTTTTCTCTCTACAAGAGACTTAGACTTTAAACTGTTAAATGCAAGATTACCAACATGAAGTTTGAAGGAGAAATAAGACGACTGCGTGAAATGTCTATAGCTGACCCCAACCATCCTGCTTTAAACTAGGTTAAAGAAGAAATGTTTGAGAACTCAGCCCCATTCCAGGGCTTAGAGCCCCTCCGAATCTCTGGGACCATCTTCATTTCACATCCTCAGATAAACCCCAGAGTCACCAGAACAGAAGGAGCCAAAGACTAAGTGAAATTGGTGTGACTGCCTAACAAACTTGACGCTTCCTCGGGCATACCAAGATTCCCAATAGTTACTTGGTCTCTACAGTGTGCAAGGTTCCGCACTAAGAGGGTGGTGTAAAGTTGAATCAGTAGTGGACTCTGACCTCAGAGACATTTACAACTTCTACGACATATTCTCCATTGTTCCTTGTGGTACTTAGGATAGCGGTCAGCACCCAAAGCCTCAGTCTTAGAACACAGTTCAGAGATTGTTCCCATTTCATCCAAATATACACCAAGTCCTTTATGGTGTTCTCCATTCCATGCTCTTTTTTCTTTCTCTAATATACGTCAATAATGAGGCATGATTAGACAGGTAGTATCTCAGAGCCCCATGTCACTTCTGCAGCCTGGTATCTACAGTATAAATTCTGTCATTCCACCAAGCCCGTTTCACCCCATCGCTAGGTACAGATCCAACCAATCATATTGCCAGAGCAATCATCAACAAAGATCAGCTTGCTTGAAAAGGAATTAAAACATTCTGGATAGAGATTACTCTCGTCATTATATGCCCCGGGATGAACTCTGAAAAGCAGCCCTTAATTATCCAACACACGTTATCAAGTTCCTAAACTCCTTCCAAAAAGCAGGTTTAAAGCTTCGGAGTTACAAAAAATAAATAAATAACTCTGCAACGCCTCTTACAGGTTGCCTTCAGGGTATCAAAAGGGGTGGCACTTACTGCTTTGCAAATACGCTTTCTAAAAATATTCAATATTTTCCTTAAATGCTTATGGCAAAGCAACTAATTCAATTCATTTTCATTGCTCACAAGCTGCACAATGACTTGATCTCTTTAATATTTCACTCATAGTAGCAGCACTGAGCTATGACTAACCCACTCTCCCCAGCATCATCGCTGGCTCCAGATGGCAAAAAATACATTCCCTTTATTCTTGCCTGAAAAGCAATTCTGATTTTTTTTTTTTTCTTCCACCCATTTCACCTGCAGTAATTGTTTTACTCTAGAAAGAAAATGGGTGGGGAGTGGAAGGGGAGATTCATGCAGAGGGTAGTACAGGTAGGTGAATTTACTATTTTTTTTTAATGGGGTGTAAGCACTGCAGCTTTAAATAGTGCTGCATCAAGCCCTGGATTCCTTCCATAGCCGAGCTGCAAAATGGTAACTAGAAAGGAGGAAAAAATGCCTCTTCCTCCCTCCCGGCCAGCCCTTCCACAGCTCCCGTCAGGGCAGCTAGCGCGAGCCCATCCCCCACGCCTCCCAGCCCAGGCGCGCGGCGGGCACAGGTGAGCCGGGCGCCAACCTCGGCCCTCGGGCTCGCCCACATCCGGGGATCAAGGTCAAGGGCGAGGGCTTCCTTCCCCCGCCCCCGGCCCCCCGGCAGCCCCGAGCCCGGGATCTGCTGCCAAAGTTTCAGGCCGGGCTGCGGCCGGCGCGGCTGTCGCAGCTCCCCCGCCCTCCCGCACCTGCTCGGCCCGTCCGGGTCGGAGGACAGCGCCCACCTGGTCCCCACTCACCTCTAGCGGACATGGTTGGTGCAGGCAGCGGGAGCTGCCGCTGGAAGGCGGAGGACAGCCCCGCGGGGCGCGGGAGAAAGGCAGCCCCGCAGCGCCTGCCCGGCCCCGGCGCCCTCCGGCTCGCGGTGAGTGGACGCCGCTCGCAGGACACCTGGCAGCCCTCTCCGCGCAGCGAGGCCGACGGGCGGGGACGCAGCGGCCGCGGGGACCCGCCGGGCGCGGCAACGCTGACACCCGCGGCCACGCTGGGCGGGGCGCGCCTCCCCCGCCCCGAGCCGCCGGGGCCCACCCCGGTCCAGCAACCGCTCTGCCGCGGCGCCGGGAGGGGCTCTGTCCCCGAGCACCGAGGGTCTGCGTCCTCCCTCTCCCGGCCCGGCTTCTTAGTAAGAGGAAAAATAACGTGGGTGCTCCGAGTGGCTCTCAGCTCTCTGCTTTGGTCCCAGAGAAAGAAAGCAAGAAAGGGCCGTTCGTTCCTTCCCCTAAGTGATGCCCTTGACAGGAGAGCGAAGACCACGGTCGCCTGAGAGGGCTCAGCCCGCATCCACACGCGGGGCCCGACCCACGAGCCCCTCTGAGCCGGCGGGGCTCTCAGAAAGCCTGTGGGTGGGGTAGCATGGGGCGGGACTTTCTTCCAGCGACCCTCGAGTCAACGCTGGGCGTCAGGGTCCCCCCACCCAGCACCCGGTCTTGAACCAGCAGACATTCAAGGGAGGTCTGTGCATGCACTTCATTTACTGCATCAACTCTCAAAAGTCGGAGCTGGACCGGGCCAGTGGCCACTCTAAACATCCACTTTTTCTATTTGTCAGGATAAAAAGGAGAAAATACAAGAAAAATCTCTTAGTGCCCTGGAGGTTTATCAACTAGCGCTTAACGCTAATAAGCAACATAATAAAAAGCCACCAGATCCAGAAATTCTAAACTAAAAAGGAGGGATTCCACTCTCACGCCCTGTCCTCTCTTCCTCTGTGCACTCTCAGAACAGATATTCTATGGCCGAGCATGGTGGCTCACTCGTGTAATCCTAGCATTTTGGGAGGCCGAGGCAGGTGGATCACTTGAGGTCAGGAGTTCGAGACCAGCCTGGGCAACATGATGAAACACTGTCTCTACTTAAAAAAAAAAAAAAAATCGCCTGGCAGTGTAGCAGGTGATTATAATCCCGGCTATTTGGGAGGTTGAGGTATGAGAATCGCTTGAGGTAGATGATGCAGTGAGCCGAAATCACCCCACTGCACTCCATCCTCTGTGACAGAGCAAGATTCCATCTCAAAAGAGAGAGAGAGAGAGAAACGGACATTCTAGTTATTTTCTATGTTGGCATTGCCCAAATCCATCCTGATGTGATGGGAATTGTATAATAGTTCTGATGATTCAGAAATATTAAAAAATAGGTGAACATATTATTTCAGGAAAAATAAATGATGGAGGATAATTGAGCATCATTGAGGAAAACTCTACCAAATGATCATGTGGGAAAGGAACTACTAGAAAAAGGATTTGTAATGAGAATAGAAATTCTCAGATTCAAATGCCAACTACAAAAATCAGTTCATTGTTTATCCATCTTGACGACATCCTTTTCACTGTCTTTCAGGCAGAAAACTTGCCAGTGAATCACAATTCCGTTGCTTCCGTCTCAAAACAACTCTTCTCTCCACTATCCTCAGTCTACTCTTTTCTCACTTAAAGCATGATCACAGGAATAGCCTGGTTGCCCCACCTACATCCATCCTCCAGCCTCCACTGCCTCCCTACCATCCACCCCCCAGGTTTATTTTGCTATTGCCTTGAGAATACTTTTTCTATTTATAACATGACATAGTTCATGATCTACTATGAGGTTATACTCCAAAACTTCTAGTGGGTCCTCACTGATCTCCAGACACAGACTCAACATTTCAAAGTGTCTTTATCCAAGCAATTAATTGACCCAGCAACATTGTATTGAACACATACTATGCACCAGTCTCTAGGGTAGACACTAGGGTTACAATGGTGAACAAGATAGACATAATCTACACCCACACAGAGCTTAAAATTCACTGAAATTTTAAGGTCTTTCTTAATCTCTCCTACCTGGCCAGTGCCATCTCTAGCTACTCCCTACACAAACATTTTACTGTAAACCGACTTCTTTTCCCTCTGTTTCCCAACAAATCAATGTGTTTCCTGTATCCCTGCCTTTGCTTATTCTCATTTTTCTTTCCCGATGCCCTCCTCCCCACACAAATCAACTCATATAACATCTTACAAAAGGTTCACCTTCTGTTTTAACCCACATGGATCTTGTTCAATCAACTTGTGTGGCATGTACTTTCAGAATCACCTGTATTTACTTAATACATTGCTTTGTGTTGTTGCTTAATGGTTTCATTGTAAGTCTTTTCTAGCTCCCCAAATCTCTCTGAAATCAGGGACTGGGGCAGTTTTGTTGAATTGAATTTGTTCTGGAAATATACAGAGCATATGTTCTATCAGACATGATACTATTAAGATAGAGAAGTCCCAGAATTGCATGTCTTCTTTTTAATTTTTATTTATTTATTTATGTCTTTGAGACAGTCTTGTTCTATCACCCAGGTTGGAGTACAGTGGCGCGATCTCAGCTCACTGCAACCTCCGACTCCGGGTTCAAGCGATTCTCGTGCCTCAGCCTCCTGAGTACCTGGGATCACAGGCATGTGCCACCACACTGGCTAATTTTTGTGTTTTTAGTAGAGATGGGGTTTCACCATGTTGGCCAGGCTGGTCTCAAACTCCTGGCCTCAAGCAATCTGCCTGCCTCAGCCTCCCACAGGATTATAGGCATGAGCCACTGCCCTCTGCCTATTTTTATTCTTCTAATTAATATCTAGTCCTTTTCTCTAACTGCCACAATAGTTCTGGTTCTTACAACCTCATAGCAGAATTACAGATAGAGTGGCAAAAGCCCAATAATGAACAGATTTTACTCTTGTCCTTAAGATGCTTGTAATAGACTATATCAATGATTATAAAATTCACTCCTAGATATGTCTCAAATAAGGCACCTTGCACAATACTGTTAGGCACACAGCAAGTACTCAGTACCTGCCTGGCTGGCAGGTTGCAAAATGTTAAGTTTGTTATCAAAGGTCATCTTTAGCTAAAAAGAGATTTCTCTATGTATTTAGCTTTAGTCTTCTTAGGGTTAAGTCTCAGTTCAGATTTTAAAATATATGTGATTTTTCTTATATTTTGGAGTTATAATACATTGAAATGACTTTTTAGGGCCAATCACATCATCTCAGAATCTCTTTCTATAATCTCAGAAATCTGAAACCAATTCTTGCAATCATACAGCAATCAAGTTTCTGTTAATGGCTCGAATCTCCTAACAAATGTCTCATCTGAAATAACTGAGAATACTTTAGAAATCACTGTAAAAGCCAACTGTAAAGTACAAGGAATTTTAGGAGACATAGTAAATGCCACTTTTTAAAGTCAGGAAATAAAGTACAGTCTATTGGTTGAAACCAGAGATAAAAATTCATATAGACCAAAGGGATGAAATACATTTCAGTCTGTGTTTGGAAAAAGAAGATGTTATTCTTTGACTCTTGCCAAAAACACTCTTTTAAATTCTAACGGAAGGAAAAGTAGTGTACACTATTAACATTTTTTTCTTTATTGATTTTTTAAATGATTGAATATTGAGTCTTACTCCCACAGCTTTTCAGCTGCCAACTCATCATCACTTCTCATTCTGAACGTAAACTTCTCATGAGTAGCATGAGAATAATTCTGCTTTCTGCATAACTTCAAGCTTAAAGGCACACTGATCTACTCAATAGTTTTTTTTTTTAATCGAATACCTTTATAATACCTACTCTGTAGTAGGCAATGAGGAAGTCTTGGCAAACACATTAGATAAGCAATATATAAGGTGGAGAAGCTAAGCCTGAGACTCTTCATTTAGCCAGGCCACTAACGGGGGATAAAATGACCCCAGATTAGTCATATCCCTGGCTCCCAAGAGAAGCAAACTAAAATTCTTTTTTAGTAAAAGCATCCAACAGTGGCTCATGCCTGTAATCCCAGCACTTTGGGAGGCCAAGATGGGAGAATCATTTGAGCCTAGGAGTCTGACACCAGCCTGGACAACATGGCAAGACCCTATTTCTAAAAAAAAAAAATTTTTTTTAATTGGCCAGGTGTGGTGGCTTGTGCCTGTAGTTCCAGATATTTGGGAGTCTGAGGTGGGAGGATCACTTGAGCCCAGGAGATTGAGGCTGTAGTGAGCCATGATTCCATCACTGCACTCCAGCCTGGGTGACAGAGTAAGACCCTGTCTCAAAAAAAAAAAACACAAAAAACTTCATCAGTGTAGACCCCCAGGATTCGATAAAGATCAGGCAAAAATGAAGTCATAATGAAAGTTGAATAAATACACAGGAAAATAAGCCACACTGAGTGAGAGTCAGCAGAAACAACAAATAGATACTAAGTAGTTTGGGTATTATAATTCCCAGATAATACATATAAAACGAGATAAAATATATATAAAGTCACAAATAAGTAACAAAAGATACACATCATAAAACTAAACCAGCACTGAGACTACCAAAAATGACCAAGTAAATTTCAAAAAGAACCAAATAGAGGCTGGGCATGGTGGCTCATGTCTGTAATTCCAGCACTTCGGGGGGCCAAGGTGGGCAAATAACAAGGTCAGAAGTTTGAGATCAGCTTGGCTGACATGGTGAGATCCTGTCTCTACTAAAAATACAGAAAACTTAGCTGGGCGTAGTGGCAGGCACCTATAATCCCAGCTACTCAGGAGGCTAAAGCAAGAGAATTGCTTGAACCCAGGAGGTGGAGGTTGCAGTGAGCTGAGACCATGCCACCCCACTCCAGCCCAAATACAAATAAATAACTATCAACTATTGAAATTTTAAAACTCAATGGATAGATAGAATTAGTGAATTGGGTAGTAGATATTAAAAAGCCACTAGAAATACAGCTCTAAAATACTGGGAGATGAATAATCAAAATAGAGGTTAAGACATATTGACAATAGGATGAGAAGATCTAATGTTTAAATAATAGGAGTCTCAGGAAAGATTTTTAAAATGGAAAAAAGACTACATTTGAAGAAAAAACA